GTTTCTTCTTATTGTGAATATCAAACGTAAAAAACGCCATAGAATTTATACTTTCTCGACTTTGTTTGGATATTCACAAATAGATTGATAGGATTTCGAGATTTAATTATAATAATTAATTCACGATCGATACGAAATGCACTTGAGTGACTTATGGTAGCTTAAATAATTAATAGAAACAAAACCTTATTTACAAATAGCGCAGGTTGATTTTTTTTATCGGTATACTTAATTTGATCCGAAAGCGATCATTCAAGCCTTTAAAGTATTAGAATGCTTATCTACTATTACTTTTTTATAACATAAACTACTTAATTGATTTTGAGAATAAGTTTACTTATTTAAGGCTATGGTATAAACTTTTTAAAGTCCATTTTTAAAGGTTCGCAATGCATCTGGCGGTAATTCCCTAGCATTAGGTAAACTACCTGCTCACTCGCCAGCTTTTGAAGCAGAAAGACCCCGACTTTCTCCTAATTTAATGAAGGTTTTTAGTAGGACATTTCGATGTTTTTTGATTGAGTGAAAAGAAAAGAGTTAATTGCTCAAATATTTTACAGCTTCCATACACCCGTAGATGCGAGTAAGACTTGATAAAATACAATAAATACCAAATGCCTGTTACATATATATCTCACTAAAATTTGATAAGAAAAAATTAACAAAATTTAGGTTTGTAGTGGCAGAAATAATAATTCAAAATTTGCATTGGCAGATATTTAAATTTATGTACAATATTTATGATGCGAAGAGTTTTACAAAATTCAATGAAAAGAAAAGAAAGAATTTGCATATGCACCATATAATTGAAGTAGTGTGATAATAAATTAAAAATACTGTGAAACTTACATACAAAAATATATTATCTAGAAACTAGAAAACGATAACGAAACGCGTTGAACTCTTTTCGTAGCGTGAATATGTCATCGCCAAGTTATTATTAAGTGAAGAATTACTTATTATCATTTTTATAATTTTAATGAAACAACTTACGTTTAAAATGTGTATTATTGTTTTCAAAGGTGAAGCCAGCTCTTTATCCTTTGCAACCAAGGGCCAATATAGAGCGACTCAAGAGTATAGAGATTTAATGACTTTAGGCAAGGACGTGGATATGCCGCTAATTGGATGCGACGAACACTTAATTTTTTTCTGGTCTCACCCCGATTATGTGTCAGGTATTCTATCATTTTATAGATCATTATAATAAAATATGATATTATTAAAATGACGAAATAACAATTTATAGACAAAATAAAATAGCAATTTTACAACCGTCAAGTTTTATGCATATTGCTGGCTTAAATATTTTAGAATATTACTTTGTACGGATGTACGATGATAAATCGGCGATAACTCGTTTATAACGCTTCAAACAACTTTCTAGTCTGTTGCTTCTATATGGACTAGCAGCATTATCAGTGCGCGTTAATTAATCCGGGGGCATTTGATCTTTATGGAGGAGAAAAATGCACACAAACAAACCGTGAAAGCCATATAAATCAACCGTTTAAATACATCGAATGGAATTCACTAGAACATAAAGTATTCCTTGCAAAGCACGCTCACAAATCTATCACCGTTCGCAACACACACACTGATGCCAAAGCGGGTGCATTAACTTCCACGGTATAACTTACCATCACTGCCATTGATTTAGGCCAATTATAAACCCATTTCTTGGTTTCGAGCACGCTTATTACACTGGAGTTACAAACAAAAAAAATCTATCGTTACCACTTTACGTAGACACTAGTTTCGTACACGCATTCGCGTTATTCGCATTGAAACCACTTTATGACACACGATTGTAGCACGTTCTGATCGAGTTGGTTACTAGAGATAAGTTGTGTAAAGTTGCGGGATTTGGTTTTGAGTAACACGCTTCTGCCTTTGCTAAGCATGCGCCAGCGCAGCCTCAAACGGACTGACTGCCGGTCACTAATGCTGCCAGCTATCCACTACCGCAAACTCCACAAGTTCGCCTAATTGTTACTGATTCCTACTAAACAACACTAATGCCTACAGATCATGAGCCTTCACAAATGTAACCGACATATTTAGTGATTTGGAAATCGTGAACATGAGTTAATACCAATTTACTCATTCTATCGCTATGTTTGATTTAAAACTGCTGACGTTTTAAATAATTTACTACTTTACAGAACCGAATGACATTGAGCTTTTTTGGAAATTTGTGATATACTATACAAACGGAAGGAATGTAAATTAAACAATACATTAAATAACTATGTAAAAAGATAAAATTATAAAAGTTACCTAAATGGTTATATATTCTACTGTATGGTAACATTACCGTGGCAGCCATTAATGTTAGAGCGAGCAAAAACACATCGCCTTTTCACTTGGCAGGGCGGAATGTGACCCGCTATCACCTTGAAGGCCGTAAGCTTGCAGACGCTTCAATGAAAACAAGAGCTTTCAAGCCTATTGATGATATAAGATATGCGTGGCTTGTTGAAGTGTTAAATAACACTAAAAGTGATCTATTATTTTTGTTAAGTACACACAGATGGGCGTGATTAAACATTGCAAGGCATGCCATGAATTGAGCCCTATACAACATTGGTGTGAGTATGTACACATCTCGCCTCTCGCTATCACGATAGGAGAGTGTGTAAGTGTTTTGCTTTTGCGGTGGATCTCGATTCAAACCCTGAATGTTTTACCGTACCGGGAACAGTTTGTTGTACAAAACCACAGCCAATTACGGTAGTCAGACAAAAGGTAGGCCAGATCCACTAAATCGTTATCTCGTATCATACCATATCACCAACTTGTGTTATGCGTAAGATTTTATTAAAAAGTAAGACTACTCTTTGGTAGTTAACGGTCTAGCCACTAGCAACAGCCTATTTACTCTTGCACACACTCACATTTTAATCGGACGGGAAAACTAACACTGACAATCTGTTCCACTCCTTGACCTTACTCATTACGGAAGGGTAGGCAACCCTCTCCGTTCGTAGATGCGGAATGTTAACAAAAAAAAATACGGAGTCATTGCAGCCGCTTTGAACATCACTTTATGAACCGGCCAAAGCTAGAATTTGAGGAGATCTTTGTACCCAGCGTTTGAAGGCGGTCGGTATTCTAACGGTGAAAATTAGGAGTCGAGTTGAACGGGCTCCATTTTGCAGTGATAATACACGGCTGGGTTTTGGTAACATTGAAACCCACAAGATTGGTAACAAATAATTATTCATATAATCAATACTTTACGTGTCAATAGCTACTTAAAATATTTTAAAATTATTAACTTCGTATACAGCAGTATACAGTAACAGCCTATACATTTCCCACAGCTAGACAAATACCTCTTCTGTACAGAGGGTACCATAGGGCATAGTCCACTACGCGGCCCCACTGCATATTGGCGGACTTCACTTATCTTCGAAATATTTTTTTGATATTATTCCGAAAATATGCAGGTTTCCTCACAATGTTTTCCTTCACCGCTGAGCACGTGATAATTCAGCACTTAAAATTAACAATTTCATTGGTGCCGGCACCGGGGTTTGAACTCAGGTTGCTAGAGTATATTAAATTAAATGCGAGCGCCCAGACACCGAGGCTCTATAGAGTATAACGCTGTATATAAACAATGTTTTAAAAAATTTATGTTGAGTTTTATGGTGCTAATCCCTGCACTTAAGATGAAACATTAATGTTTCACGAAGGGGCCACGTTAGGGGCTATGTTAACTTTCCTTTGCTTTACATTTTTGTTTACATCTGTAATAAGAGTGGGGTTGCAGTCCGACGCCTACGTGCTTTTTTAAGCAAAATACTTCAACATAAATTTTGCAGGCGCCATGTATTTCGTAACAGACGAAGGAAAAAACATTTATTTATAACTTTATACTACTATTATTTTTTACATCATAACGATGATGGCTTACCGAAAGAAACTAAGTTGTCTATTAAACATTAACCCTAGCTTTGTGCTACTCTGCCTTAAAAAAATCACCTTTCATCTTATTTAAAGAAATAAGGCTATTCACATAATTATAAACTGTAAATTTTATGAACATTAAAAAGTTGCATTTCTAACCGGGTTTTGAGAAATTACAAAATATGGTGTTCAATTAATTTTATACACGTTTTAATATATGTGAGCAAACATAATATGTTTTTTATAAATTTAATCTTTTTAATTTTTAAAATTTTGCGTTACTGTCCAATAAAAATACTTTTTAAATAAATTGCTACTAACAGTTTTGTATGACACATTGTATTCACATGCCGCCTTATAAAATCTAACAAAGTTGTGCTAAAGCTAAGGTAAATTGGTCGCCAAGTGAAGGTGAATCGGTTGAGCATTTAATATCTGTTGACAACCTTGGTCCAATTGCTAAACTGCTTAATAAGTGCTTTTTTATTTGTACTTCTACCAATAACAAGCATAAATTAAAGGATTCATTTTTATTTTTAGTGGTAGTCCCTGCACTCAAAATATAACCTTTTTAAATTGCAAATTTTTGCACCATAATAAATATATGTGATATATGTTTAATACCCACAATTTAGATGATAACATGACACCTCATATATTAAAATGTATGAAAAGGTTAAAGCTGTAGAAAGTGTCAAAAATTTCAAGATACACACACGCACAAACCTGCTCGAAAAACATTACCCTATTTCGGTAGTCGGGTAAGAAAAGGAAAAAGTGCAGAGTTAATATCGGCTTTACAAGTAGCCGTTTTCAGTGACTTTGTGGATAAAAGAATGGTTTCGGAAACCAGTGATTTTTACCCCACACGGCCATTGTCTATAGGTACTTATAGTTTGTATAGGACGACCCCCCCATTAGATGGAATGACGACTTGTGGAAATGTGTGCGAAGTCGATGGATGTAGGTGGTTCAGGATCGCTCTTCGTGGCAGTCTATGCGGGAGGCCTATGTTCAGCAGTGGACTCAAACAGGCTGAAATGATGATGATGATGATGATGACTAGATTGAGTAGATGTTACGCAATGGTAAGTAGCGTGGATGGCAATGGTTCACTTGGTCTTAGGTAATAACTGCCTAAATACATGGACAACTAAAGTAGTTGATGGCTTTCAGTACTGTAACGAACCTATAGAAGACTGGGTTCGAGTTATCTCACTCACCAGACGAAGCGCAAAACTCTAATACTTCTACTTCGCTTCCCGGATATGCTATTCGCTCGATAGCAGAAGCTGTTTACCCCAACAAAACCTACGTTTGTATGTCTTCAGATTGTTCCAGAAATTACTTTGTTTGTAGTTTATTTTGCTGTTTCTTCGGTGACCTGCGGACTCAGGAGAACAATACGGGTGGCGCATGACGACGAAACGATGGCAACGTTCGCAGCGCTGTATCTCCACGACCCCTATTAACGAAAAACGAACACTTCGACTATTAAGGAACGACACGATCAAAGTTCTAATGGAGGTTTTCGGTTTGAACCGCAATCGACAATAGAAAGTTCCGAAAGTGAATAAGATAAAAATATATTATTTTTATTTTTAACAAATGTTGAACTAAACGTTTAAACCATTAATTTAATAAATTATAAGTTAAGATTGTACCTTTTAAATTAGCAATAGAAATTATAAATAGGGACAATGACAATTTTATAACAGTGGTACGTCATATGTCAATAAATGTCACGGTTGCTTAGCAACTGTCATGTTCTAGGCTTTTATTCTGTTTTGTTTAGACAACAAACATAATTAAAGACGGGTAACCAGCAAAAAAACTGTGTTGTGTCCGAAAAAGCGCCCAGAATTATGATAGTATCACGTATCACTACTTCGTGACTAAAGACAAGCTCGAATGCAACACGCATAGGAAGTAAAATGAACGTTGTTTAATTATACAACTGACCTCATACAGTCGAGTTACGCGACTTTTGGCGCCTACGCAGATTCAATAAGTGACCCAGAAAATTTAAACTGAGGTCACACCGTTCTCAGTAGTCCGGTATTCAAAATCGTATAACATTTGTTGTGTGCAGTCAAGCGAACAGGTTCGTAGTTATTGATTTTACAAATGAGTCAGGTTTTTATCACAATGTTTTAGGTTGTAACTACCAATATTAATAATTATTCCATACATAACTGGAAATCCGTTAAAATTTAACAATTTGAGCATTTTCTTTATGGTATTTAAAAACTAATTTCTGCTACTTCTAGGTTTCTAATGAGTTATTTTTATTTGTTATTAATTATTTCGGTAAATGTAAATAACTTTAACTCCGGCGTAATTCAAATCAAATAAATTTTAAACGATAGAGAAAAATCACTTATGAATTTATCAACAAGCAGAATTCGGCGGTCGCTTCTAGTTTTCGAAAAAATAAATAATGAAATGTGTGATTTTTACTATAGAAATCCGCCATTTTTTTTTGTCAATATGTCAATTCATATATTTCTTGGTGGTCATAAAAAAAAAACCTAACATCGAAGGTTATGAACCTTCTAACCTAATCTATCCGAGTCGGATTCGCTCTGTGTCGGTTCTGTGATTCATTAAATTAAAAAAATCGGAATATCGATATGTGTATGATGTCGCCCGCTTCCTATATTTATCATGTTTGCAGAACTGTGTTTTGATTTTTTAAAGTCAAACAAATAAATTGGTGGATTCTTAGTACAAAAAACAAGTTTTAAATATTTTTTTTCTCGAAAACTATAAGCGACCGCCAAATTCTGCTTGTTGATTAATTCATTAGAGATTTATCTCTATCGTTGAAAATTTATTTGATTTGAATTACGCCGGAGTTAAAGTTATTTACATTTACCATTATTTCAATATATTTCATTTTAAAAATTTCCCATATATTTGTTTATTCTATAACTTTAGCTGTATATAGTTTTTATTGGTAAAATAATCTTCAATACTACAATAATAATGAATATATTTTATACATACATAATTATGATGAATAAGAATCTTGAACAAAAAATGTTAAATTTTTATTTAGAACAAAACATACCTATTTCATTTACAATGTTATCTGTTTAATATAAATATAATATAATATATAATTATTAAACATAATATAATATAAGATTCAATAGATATGGTTTCTCCACATTAATAATGCATACTACCTATTGATTATAGTCCAGTATTATGGCAGTCAATGAGTTGTAAGTTTTATTTTTGGCAATTTTTACAACTTTCAGATAATGTCTCGTCCAAAACCTCAGTGGCAGTTGCAAGCATTGGCAGCACAAAAGAGAGACAATGAGCTTCGACGTACAGAAGAATTGAAGAGGGTTGCCAGCTACTTTGAATCCAACACTAATAAGTCAAAACACCATGAGCAGTGGACCACTGAGGATTACTATGAGCGGGCCAACAAAGAAGCGGAGATACTAAGGCAAAAGAAAATGAGGGCTGCGTAAGTATTTAACCATTACATTATCTTCACTATAATTATCTTATAAATTATATTATATATATTTTATTATATAGTTATGTACAGTCAATATTCCAAAAAAATATTAATACACAATTTTCTTTCATATACAAAACAAAATTGTATTTTGTATTCTTTACAGCAAATTGGAAGAGCGACGAAAAAAGTTAGAAATAATGTTATTTCAAGAAAATATGCAATACCAACAGGAGTTGAGAAACTTGGCTGCTCAGCCAAAGTACTATAAGAATGGGTAAATGTGATTTTTGATTTTGGTAAAGTAGTAAAATTTGATGCACAAAAAGTTACGAATATTCAATAAATGTTCTAATGCAACTTTAGAAAATTCTGCCTTATTTAATGATTGTCTGTTTAAAATCCTCTTTAATCCTCCTGATTTTGTTAGAACTATTTTGAGATTCATTTTAGTTCATACCTCAACAAAGTGCCAACATCAACCTTGCAAGAGATCAACCAGGGAATTATGGAAAAGGAAGAGCAACTGCGGAAGCAAGAGGCCGAACTGCGTATCCATCATGCCTGGAGACTCAGACAACCAGAACTACGAGCAGCAAACACATACATTGCAAATGGAAAACTCAAATCTGCATGGTAGATATCTTTACTCTCAAAATTGTTTCTTGGATTTCATAACACTTCCACATTACACAGAAGACCAGCGTAAAGTGGAAGTATGACAAATACTTACGCATTTCGTCTGGTGAGTATGTAGCAGATGTCCATGGGCGGCGGTATTCACTTAGGATCACGTGAACCGTCTGCTCGTTTGGCAACTTTTCACATAAAAAAAAATAACAATCATACCATTTTAGCTGTATGTTCTTTTACATTAAAAGGATACAAATTTTATAGAAGAGCTTATGAAAAGAACTAACTCAATAATTATATTTTGTAAGTCATTTGACAGTATCCTCAATCTAAATTTGTCAGGTCTTTACTTTCATAAAATATTGTCATCAATATATATTGATATTTATATGTTTGACATATAATTTCAAAAGCTTTGAAGTTGGAATTTTTAAATGGGTGATATGGGTATTTCATTCCTAGAATTGATTTAGTAAGAAATACAAAGTCATTGTCACATATAATTTTGTGTGCAACAGGATGGAACAAATTGTAGAAAAAGAGTTGCAAAAGAAAAAAGATGAAGCTGAGACTCGGAAATGTTTAGAGGAGAGAGATGAAGCTCTGCGTAAACAAATTCAGGTAGAAGAAGAGAGACTAAGAGAGAAGGAACTACAGATGAAGGTCCACAATTATAATAAATTAACAACTATTCTGAAAAAATAATAATCAAGAAGTCAAATGATATCATATTTTATATATTTTAGGAACTCCGTGAAAGTCTCGAAGGGCAAATCGCAGAGTTAAGTGAGAAAGAGAAAATTGTCAAGAAACTCAGGCAACAAGAGGAAAAAGAGCAACTTCTATTGTATGAGCTGCAGTGCATAGCAGAAGAAAGAGAGAAGGAACATGCCCGACTGATGTCTGAGCGAGAGACACTTATTGTTAACATGGGACTGCACAAGTATAAACTAAAGAAAAAAGTAGCAGCTGTGTTGCAAGAGATAGAAACAGATTTAGCTATGCTAGAGAAGGTTCAACATGCAGTTATTAAGGTAAAAAGGTTCTTTTTGCCTATGGAGTATGACAGAAGTGATACCTTGTTAGAGGTGTACTGAGTATTAATTCTAATTACGAATTATAATTACATTTCTCCACAAAGATGAGTAATGAGAGATATAGAAAGGGAAGGAAGTGACAGTAACACTTTTATCATTAAAATATATAAATATAATAATATACATATAAACTTTTACATTACATGTTACAAAATTTTGAACAAGTTCTTCCGTTCACAGCCTATTGTAACCAATTTGACTTAAATTGCGTATTTGGTATTTTCATTTCAGGATTATGCTACTGAACAAGAGAAACGCTCAAGCTACAAGCGAATTGTCGACGCAGCGCTCCGAGAAGTAGAGGAGTATAAAGAGAGGGACCGACAGAGACAGAAGAACATAGAAGCGATGTACGATGGTGAAGCGAGACAGATCAACGAGAAACAAGACAAGGTTCAATATCTCTCTATACAGGGCCGGTGTTAGAGCTCCGGAGGCCACAAGGGAGTGGACGCTGTTTGGCCCCAAATTTTTTATTTTCCAAATAAACATTTTTTTTCAGTCAAGTTTTCCAATAAAAAATTTATTGTGAAACCAAGTATAGTAGGTAAAGGTAAATCGCAAAAAAAATATGAAAGGTGGGTGGGAGTGGAGCGGTGTTTACTAGTGTTTATTAGTCTGAATTTGAATTTTTTTCTGAAGTCTCTATTGTGGAAGCCCGGCTGTAACCCCAGTTGCCCTCCCAATTATATGCCACTTATTTGCTGAGCTACAATAATAGCCATGATAGCTCAGCATATATAATTATAAATAAAACAAAATAAAATAGAATTTTACTTACATTCAGTTATTGTTTTAAGTTGTTAAATCTACATGATCTGATTAATATTTGCTTTATTTTATTGAAGTCAAAAGTTTTAAGTACAATTAATACTTTTAGATTCCCAAGTTCAAAGTAAAAATCGCAATTCCGTTATTTATGACATAATTTAATTAACAATCATCAAATGTGTTATTACATTATCACCCCTAAACATCCTTATTTTGTACAATATTTTTATCACTCCAATATAAAATCATCGATGAAATATTCAACCATATTAAATATTTATTTGTATATAATTCATTGCTTGACCTTTAGGGCTACAATTGATTGAATTGAAGTAGTAAAAAGTAAAAAATGTAAAGTAACAGCCTATACATGTCCCACTGCTGGGCAAAGGCCTCCTCTATAGAGAGGGGGAAGTAGTAAATTGTCAGTATTTTCACACAAATTATGAGCTGTCTCCAAACAAACATTAATTTAAATAGTTAAAATCTTCAAATTAAAGATTTTGACTATTAAAATTAATGTTTGACATAAGGACCTTGCGCTATCCAAAGAGTACTTTGGATATAGTGGTTGGTTTCAATAAGCTATAAAACTATTTTACCTTCATAGGTATTGAGGTAATAAGCCCAGCCGTACACAGAGCAAAAAGTCATTGAGATATTGAACCTATTAATATTGAAATGTTGCATATGAATTTCATCTAATGCAGTTGTTGGTTTTAATTAGTTTCTCTTTATTTCCTTTCAGCTCTGGGCAAAAGAGCGCGAGGCACGCTCGATACTGATGAAAGAAGTAGTGTCGACACTAAGCAAACAGTTGGAGGAGAAAATAGAAGCGTCCAGACAGAAGCAGAGGGAGAATGTACTAGATAGGGAGAGGATTCTCCAGCAAATGGAGGATTTCAATCACGAAGTGCGCGCGAAGGAGCGCGAAACTCAGGTACACCATATAAAAATGTGAAACATACATTTATATCAATATGTATATTTTTTAATGCACAAAGGTAAATATGTATATACAGCGTGGCTTTTCTAAGCGTATCCATTTTTTTTATTAGATTCCAGACATAAATAAGACATAAAAAATGATAAATATTTAAAATCACTCGTTATTAATTAAATACATTCATTTGGACTTATCTCAAAAAGTGCGTGATTTATACGCAACTCATTTATTTTACGCGCGATCATTCATAACTAACACGCACACAAGTTCGTGCACAGTAAAATTAAAGTGTTTGAGGGATATGTATGGTCACTTCTGTGTCCGTAAGCGCCAGCGTGGGCAAGTCCTCAATAAAAGCACACACTGGATAAAACTGTTTATTAGTTATATTAGCCATGTGGCAAATTATGGTCACACAAGCAATACACTATATGAAACATCAGAGCAATATAGTACCACAAATGATATGGGAATATTTCACAAGTTAGAAAATGCTCGTATAATTACGTGTCCATTGTTCCTCTCTTAAACTCTGTCTATGACATGTCGTCTCTATTCCGAACTCGCGTTCCGGAAATGCGTTGTTGCGTGCGTTCGGAAACACACACGTTGTTGGTGTGTTCGGAAACGCCACACCACCCCCCTATGGAGAAGGAGAATCCGTAGGAAATTTAAAGGTCAAAAGGTTTGGAGAAATGGACTCTACGACCAGACCGAGTAGTATACTGAGGTGTGTGTGAAGGAGAAGAAGCAGGAAGGGGTACGGATGGTACGGTAGGAGAAGAGGATGTCCGAGTAGTATCTAGTTGCGCAGGTTGAGGCACAGAAACACAAGGCGGTGATACCGGAGAAAATAAATCCGTAGGAATCGGATGTTCGAAAAAAGCTGGCTTGAGTCTGTCGACGCTAACCGTCATCTGCTTACCATTGACTTCTATCGAGAACGTCTTCCCGTCCTTGGCTCTAGAAATAACCTTATGAGGGCCGGATTAGGGAGGCTGCAGAGAGCGACGAACAGTATCGTTCCTAAGCATGACGTATAACGCTGTAGCAAGATCCTTAAAAACGAAAGGAGACGACTGTGTATGTTGAGAAGCTGGGGTGGGACGCAATTTGGACATATGTTGTCTTAATTTGCAGACAAAATCCGGAAGCTCCTCAAAGCCAGAAACTCCAGAAGATACCAATAGTTCTCCTGGGAGTAACAAGTTTTCTCCATAGAGCATTTCTGCTACTGTTGACTGTATATCTTCCTTAAACGCAGAACGCATCCCCAAAGGCAATGCGCTTAACCAGGAATCATCATGGCACATAAGAGAGGCTTTTAACTGCCTATGCATGCGCTCAACGAGTCCATTGGCACGGGGATGGTAACTAGTGGTTCGAATACGTTTAGTACCGCACATGTCGGTGAGGCGTTTGAAAAGGTCCGATTCAAACTGTCGTCCCTGGTCAGTTGTTATGACAGCAGGAACACCGAATCGAGAAATCCAGCCGGCCACGAAGGTACTTGCCACCTCTTCCGCAGTTATACCACTCATAGGCCATGCTTCTGGCCACCGAGTATAACGGTCTATAGCGGTAAGGCAATATTGAAAACCAGAACAAAATGGCAATGGCCCGATGATGTCAATATGGACATGTTTTAGTCGTGACGTGGGGCTGGAAAAGTGTCCGGGCGGAGATTGTGTATGCCGTGTTACTTTGCTTCTTTGGCAAGGCACACACGTTTTGCACCATCTGCGGCAGTCTTGGGACATGCCAGGCCAAACGAAACGGTCAGATACCAGTCGTATAGTGGCTCGGGCGCCAGGATGGCTAAGGTTATGCAGCTGGTCAAAGATTTTCTTCCGCATAGGTTCCGGGACAAACGGTCGCGGGCGTCCGGTGGACGTGTCACAGACCAGAGATGATGTAGTGCCAGGAACGATGATATCCTCTAGCTTAAGAGAAGAATTTGTATCGTTACGATACTTCTTCAATTCATCGTCGAGTTTTTGGCAAGTGGCGAGGGCAGAATGGTCAGCTTCGAAGCTGATGGCTTCGATGCGGGACATGGCGTCCGCCACCGTGTTGTCTGTCCCCTTTTCATGGACTATGTCCGTCGTGAATTGAGAGATGAAAGAAAGTTGGTTGAGCTGTACGGGCGGCAGCCTCTCGCGACGTTGCGCAAACGCGTACACTAGCGGCTTGTGATCCGTGTAAATTTTAGCGTGTTGCGCGGCGAGAAAATGTCGATAATGCTGCACGCTCTCATAAACAGCAAGTAACTCTCTGTAGTAAGCTGGCCATTGGGACTGTTTGGGTTTCAGCTTTTTGCTGAAGAAACCTAAGGGTTTCCAATCATCTCCTACTTTCTGCTGAAGGCAAGCACCGACGTGAGAAATGGAGGCGTCTGTGAAGAGACCTAACTCAGCGTTAGGAAGTGGATGGGCCAGAAGAGCAGCAGACGTTAAGCTGTCTTTACAAGCCTTAAAACTTTCTTCGAGCTCAGGTGTCCAAGTGACTGGTGTGGGACCTTTGCCTTGGGAAGCAACGATCGCGTCGATGAGCGGTGCTTGCATTTCTGCAGCATTTCGCAAAAATCGGCGATAATAGTTGACCACCCCTATAAAACGGCGGAGTCCTTGTACGGTCTTCGGAAGAGGGAAATCTTGCAATGCCTGAATACGCTCTGTTGGTGGTCTTGTTCCTAAGGCGGAAATGCGGTTACCGAGAAAGGTCACCTCGGGAACACCAAATACGCATTTCGCCGGATTAATAACAATTCGGTGGTCTTCAAGACGTTTGAAGAGAATACGGAGGTGCTCGGCATGCTGACGGGCACTTTTCGGATACACCAAAATATCGTCGATGTATGCATAGCAAAAATCAAGTCCCTCGGTGACTTCGTCAATGAATCTTTGAAACGTTTGGCCAGCATTGCGGAGGCCGTACGTCATGTAATGAAGTTCATATAGTCCGAAGGGTGTTATTATGGCGGTTTTGCAAATGTCCTCAGGCGCAACAGGTATTTGTTGATAGGCCTTCGTACTAAATATAGTACAGCCAGAGATATTATGACCAACATCGCCAATATGGCGGACCGGATATCGATCAGGTACTGTGCGCGAATTTAACGCGCGGTAGTCCCCACAAGGTCGCCAGGTGCCGTCTCGTTTAGGAACCATGTGGAGGGGCGAGGACCATGAACTTTTTGAAGGTCTAGCTGTGCCACACCGCACCATGTCATCAAAAACTTTCTTAGCTTCTTGAAGCTTTTGAGGCGCAAGGCGTCTAGGGCGACATGATACGGGGGCTCCCTCTGTGGTCAAGATGTGGTGAACCGTGCTATGCTTCGGCTCCCGAATAAGACCAGGCGGCTTAGTAATTGACGGGAATTCCGCCAAAATTGCGCTGAATTCCGACGGAGGAGCAGACACCACTTTGATGCTGGTCTGACCTAATATTGCGATGACAGCAGCGCATGATATGCCAGTACCGCTGTCCACAAGTCTTTTATTGGCACAATCTGGCAATAGACGGTAGTGTGCCAAAAAGTCTGAACCAATGATGGCAGTGCTGACGTCAGCGACGATGAATCGCCAATGAAAGTCGCGACGCAGTCCTAGGTTCAATGACAGTTGTATAAAACCAAATGTGCGAATCTCACTACCATTAGCAGCAGCCAGTGTATAGTTCGATAGCGTTGGCTTATTGGCTAACCACTGGTATGGGTAACAGGAGAGATCTGAGCTGTGTCAATTAAAAACTGGCGCTTCGATACGCTTTCGGTGACAAATAATCGGCGACTCTCCGGTAAGCAGTCAGTCGTCGCCGCTAATGACTGCTGTTCGAGTTTTCCGAGGGCGGCGGCGTCCAGGTGCAAGGCTTAACGCACTTAGCTGCTTTGATCCCATACTTCGTGTGGTAAAAACACATTTTAGACTTACCGGTTGTTTGCGAGCGATCACGCTGGTTTGAGCGACCCCGTGACCTATCCCTACCGCGTACGGCAGTGAGCACTGCGATCCGGCGAGTAAGCTCATCTAGGCGCCGTGTGATGTCATCGAGCGATAAAGATGAGACGGCTGGAGTGTTAGCTGAAAAGACGGTCGGTGAGCGAGGTGTGCCTAGACCAGGAGAAACTTCCAAAATTTTGTCCGCTAGCTCAGCAATTTTGTCAAGCGACAGTTCAGACTGAGCGGCCAAAATGGCCTGAAGGTGCTGTGGTAGGCGGCGCATCCAAAGTTGGCGGAGTAAATTTTCGTCCGTGAGAGCGTTCCCAGCTAACGACCTAAGATGTCGCAAAAACTGCGAAGGGCGACGATCGCCAAGCTCCTCATCGCTAACAAGCTGACGGACACGTTGTTCCTCTGATGCTGAGAGCCTACGAATGAGCTCTGACTTTAACCTACCATACTTGTCTTCAGACGGTGGTTGAAGAATAATATCCTCCACTTCTCCAATTATGCGGGTATCCAGCTGAGCGATGACATAATTAAATTTAGTTAAATCTGTGGAGATACCAGAAATTGTGAACTGGGCCTCAGCCTGTCCGAACCAGATGGCAGGCCGATCTGCCCAGAAAGGAGGAAGCTTAACAGAGACCCTACAAATTGAGGGAGATTGAGAGGTAGAGAGATCATTGGGGGTAGTGTCTGTGTTGTGTGTTGTAATACTGTTAGAATGCAATGCTTTAAATTTTCCTAGTTCGGCAGTTAATAATGCATTTTGCTGCTGTAATAAGGAATTTTGTTCACTTAGTACATTTAAATTAGGCTCCATGGTTAAACAGATGACAATATGATCTTATATTTAACAGTATTTAGAGTATGTTAAAAGAAAAATATAAGAACAGAAAATACAGATTCTAAAATGTAACGACACACAATTAAAAGAAATAAGAGTAAACAATGCCAATAGCAACATAAAATGATAACAGTACAGACACAAAATAATTATAATAATGAGTTAAATAATTATAGTTATTAGTGTAAAGAAGTACACACACACTTTAGCTAGATTAAGTAAAGCAATGAAGGCCCCTTAAAGCTACAATAATTATATTTATTTTAACAAGTTACTATTATAGTTTTTACTATTATAGTTATAGTTATTGTAAACAAGCTAATGTGCCAAAGTTAAAAACATGTTTATGTTTAGATATTAATCAGACAAACCAAAATTATATTGGACAAACCATGCTGATCTCCTTATAAGATTTAATATAAATTTTTTAATGGAAATTTCCCTAAGTAAATAAGTTTTATTTATATTTACATGCATGTATCAAGTCCTTGGGTCGTCACACAAAACATTGAACCAGGGTAGGAAGAACTTGACCGGATTGCCACAGTGATGCAGGAACTGTAGATTAGCAGGCAGCGATGGATGTTAAAGCTCGCCCATGCAGTTGCAGGATGTAGCAGAGGTTATACACGTGGTCCGACGCAGTAGCATTAGTCACGTAGCTCATAGCTGTCAGCAGTCGAAAAACACGAGGTGGGGATAACCTTGTAGAATCCGGTACGTGGACACGGAGACGGGCACGGTGCAAGGTTGCGTAGTCGGGGTCACCAATGAGGGATATGTATGGTCACTTCTGTGTCCGTAAGCGCCAGCGTGGGCAAGTCCTCAATAAAAGCACACACTGGATAAAACTGTTTATTAGCTATATTAGCCATGTGGCAAATTATGGTCACATAAGCAATACACTATATGAAACATCAGAGCAATATAGTACCACAAATGATATGGGAATATTCCACAAGTTAGAAAATGCTCGTATAATTACGTGTCCATTGTTCCTCTCTTAAACTCTGTCTATGACATGTCGTCTCTATTCCGAACTCGCGTTCCGGAAATACGTTGTTGAGTGCGTTCGGAAACACCACACGTTGTTGGTGCGTTCGGAAACGCCACATGTTTATCAATGACTACCGCATTGTCAACGCTTTCTGCTTTTTAGGGAATATAATGGCATTCTTTTTGGAAAAAAAACTTTGTTTTTTATTTCAATAAAATATTATACCACCGAGTCTGAATCTCCTATGTAAATTTGGGCACTCCTCAAAAAATCTCCTTGTATAATCATTTATACTCAATTTAAATGCTAGACTTTAAACATTTCTCAAATATAAAAATGTCTACATTTGTCGGAATGATTAAATGAGTCATAATAAAAAACGGATAAACTTAATAGAATTAAGTTTATCCAAATTCTATATTCCACATTGTTGGCCAATCGATGCCTTTTTTATGGAAAGTTCAAGTTCAGACGGGTCAACTGATGTTGTGATTACAGCCGTCCATTAACACATACAAAAGCTGGCAGATAATCTCTAAAAAAATGTGCGCCCTGGTTTCCTATGTTTTATTTTCTACTATATTTCCTGAGCTACACCAAACGAATCGCGATAGTATAATAGATCCACTTAACGTTGGTCTTCGAATAACCACAGTTTTGGCAATGCCTGTCAACCAGGCCAGGTCCGTCCGGGTGAGTACCACGACCTTACAAAAAACCGGCGTGAAATGGAATTGTCATACTTCTGCGTTTCGTCTGATGAGTGAAGTAGCCAGGGCCCACTTTGTTAAAACGTGGCAACGCATGTGCAATCCTTCGGGTCTTGTGACAAATGTCAATGGGCGGCGGTAAACGAAGTGGCGGTTCACCTGTTAAGTAATAATCAGTCAACATCAGGTGAACCTACAATTATTTTGCCACCTTCTTACAAAAAATAATCATGTTTGGCCTTGATTAAATGCTTGCCATTTGCAGTTGAAGAACACGGAATACTCGACAATCGCCGCTTTGCAATCACAGCTGAACGGTCTTAGACTGCAGAAAGAGCGTCTAGAGGAGGCCGTTGAGAGAGAGGAAGTTATCAGGGAAGCGGTCGACCGCGAGAAGAAATTGAGGGTTGAGATTGCCCGTATGCAAAGGGCGGGCAATGTGCAAGCATGGTCGTAGATATCTGAAGCTTTAAATCTTCGAATCACGCTTAAACTACATCTGAATTCATACACCATTATGTAACAATTTGAATGCTCCTCATAATAAATCAATAAAAACTGTGAGGACTTCTGATAATGTGTTCACCGCATGTTACCAGATAACTTATATTGAAAAAAAAAATGATTATAATATTTTTTTTTCAATATAAGTGATATTTCTATGGTTGTCAATTAGCTTTATGTTAAAGGACTTTACAGTTTCAGTTATTTTTTGATTTTATATATCGAGCAAGTGTTAGATGAGTAACGTGCCTTTTACATGAAATAAATAAAAAGTAAATTATAATGAAAATAATTTAGGGTGTACCTATTTATTATTAAAAAGAAAGACTTGCCTAGCAATACCCAAATAGAAAAAATCAAAGTTCCTAATATTGTATGCAAAATATTTTTGAAAATTCTAAATGCACCTGGGACAAGCTTTTTATTGGTTTTATACCAAAAGAGAGGAGAGGACTTATATTTGCAAAGTAGAAGCTGATGATGTATAGAAGTTCAATTTTTATATTGTGAAAGAAGTCAATAGGTGTCCCTTCAGTTGTTTTATTTTAACTTTTTTAATGTGTCAATTTTAAGTAGCTACTATGCAAAAATTTGTGAAAATTTAAAATAACCATAATAGTTAACCAATCATATAAACCGTTTATCTGAAATCGGTGCTCTCTTTTTTTTAAATCATAACATAAGTAAATATTAGCCATTAGCTTTCTATTTTTATATAAAGTAATGTGTTTATTTTATATTAGTGCTAAAGACAATGTGTGACATTCCATCTAAGAATATTATAAAACTATCGATGTGACCATTCCATGATTCCAAAAACAAAATTATACTAAAAAAAATAAAGACTTCTGAAGAGAAAGCAATATTATTTGCTCGAGTTTATGTTTAATTCTGTGTAGATGTGTGTTTTATAATGTTTAATATATGTGTGAATCAATTTTTTTTTTCTGTTCATTTAAATTTTAATATCCCTTTATATTTTTATAAAAGTAGTATTCCGCTTAGTTTTAAATCTAAGCTGCGTTCATTTAAACAGTAAATTTGAAAGTGAAATTTCAAACGCGCCAAATTCCGGCAACTTTAATTAAGTAAGAGAGAGAGAGTATAAACATATAATATAGAGAGAAAGAGAAAAACATTTTTTGAAGATTCTACTTCGTGTACGGACTACGCACAATTTATTTTAAAGCTTATTTTCAGAGGAATCGAAATGGTGTTCGTTTTCGGACAAAAAGAATGAACAAAGTTTAGTGTGAATGTTCCATTTCATGTACATTTGACGCGATCTTAAAATAATCATTTACTCTTATGAGACCCAATGGGTAACTATAACTAAAAACCTATTTGTTTCTTTATATAAAATTCGTTTATGTGTATTTTTGTAGTAGCATTTTTGACACCGCCATCTACCAATAGTATTACGGTACTCCACTAGCAACATGAAGGTTGTAAATATTATTAAAGGGTTAATTCTTTGAACATAAGATGGCAGTGCACTTAATTTCTTGATTATAAATTTGATTCCATTAATTTAAAAAGAAAAGAAAAACATTGTCTATACTATTGCAAAGACAAATTCAATATCTTTTTGATGGACATAAGATGATGAAAATAAAATTGAAAAAAAATATTTCTCCCGTGAAATTTAAAACGATAATTTTGTTGGTTTTCTATCGTTCTAAATATTTAAGTCAATTTTGAGGGCTTTGTTTACGAAATAGTTAAAGCTATAACACCTACTATTACATAATTATAAGGTTAAATATTAAAAAGCAGATGTTTGAAGAAACCATGTTTTTGGACAAACCTTAGTGAAAATTATTTACGCTAGATGGAACCACTTCATATTTAAATGCGCAAAGCTGACTTGAAGAGATTATAAAGCTATCGCATTTTTAAAGTTATATTGAAACCATTTCTTCCAACATTAAAAAAAAACTGTCACGAATAAAATCGTACATTATACAATTTCTCCTAAATACTCTTTTGGAAAGAGATAGCAGTGTATACAATTACAAAATAGAGGTCATGAGCTCAGGTTCACTGTGGCAGTATAACGTCGAGCAATTAAGGCGCAAAAACCGCCATGATGGAAGTTAAAAAGAACCTCGACTCCATTCGTCAAAATCTGGTTCATGATATTTTATATATATGTGATTCCTTAAGTTTTTAAAATCTTAACTAGAGGTAACCTCACGCCATACACTTCTCGCACGACACATTTGTAAGAACTCGTTAAACTTTAAGACGAGGAAAGTCTTAATTGGGTTGAGTAATCGTATTAACGTCTTCAACAGAACTAACAAGTGTCTCCTCCACCTTACTTCTATAACTTAACATTTTTACTAATATTATAAATACGAAAGTTTGAATGTATGGATGGATGTTTGTTACTCTTTAACGTAAATACAACTGAATAGATTTTAATGAAACTTTACCATTTTATAGCTGTCTGTATACATCAGAATAAGACATAGGCTACAATTTATATACATATTTTATGTATATCTGTCTTTCTGTCTGAACGTTACGCCTTCAGCCTATTCTACGCAGACGTAGTCGCGGGCAGCAAGTAGTTCATGAAGATACATTTACATTACGAGTATGATCGAAAATGTTACTCTTAATCGACTTCAAAAAGAAGCGGGTTGTTAATTATTTTTTCATGTTTAATTTTTTTTATTTTTGTTACCTTCGAACTCGATAATATATTGACTAATTTTGAAAATTATTTTGCATTCGGTTCAGTTTACCTCCAACTTGATATATGTACTTTTTTCACGGGTGGTTTCCACTTTTACCGCAGCAGTGGAACAAGTTTGAAAGTTAAATAAAAGAAGGGGACGAGGGTTTTAAAGAAACACATATAATCTATAAGCATGTAAAAGATTGCAGAAAGTCTGTCCGGTTGCTTTTAACGTGAGACTATTTGTTACCGTTTTGCAGTTTACAAGCTTTCTTTATTTAAGAAGATGGAGCAGGCCGTTCTCCTGATGGTAAGTGACACCTTCCGCTCATGGACATTTGCTACGCCCCTAGGGTTGCAGATGCGTTGCCAGCTTCGATACGTTTTAGCCCTGATTCTGCCTACGTTACGGTATAAAGTAGTAAGAGCTTGATTTTGCCTGTGCCGTCCCTACGGCTACGGATATTGTATAGTTGTAACTCCCTAGTTACAACGAATATATCAAAGCGGCATGGCATAATGCATGACTGACAAAACTCCTAATTCAAGAAGAGAGATCAATCTTCTCTTCTTTCAATTTCGTCGATGCCCTTAAAAGTTGCCAAAGTATCTCGGCGACGCTTGATCGTATGCCTGCTTTTCTTTAAAAAAAAATCAATTTTCTAAATGTGAGGGGTCTACCAAGTTTTAGGCTGTGTATACGATAAAAATTAAGGATGGAACAAATTGGCAGCTTAGCAATAGGGACGCCTATATGTACTCTATGTTTACTGTAGTATCCTTTTGTGCTTTTCCTTGAGTGCAATAAGGTAAATATTCTGTTATATAAAAGCAGGATACGTCTCGTAGGGTGCCTTTATTGAATGTATCAAGGTCACCTTGCACAGTTTCCGCTAGATAAAAAGAAGTAAAAAGTAAAGTGACAGCGTATATGTCTCACTGCTGGGCAATGGCATCTCCGTACTTAAGGTATTAGGGCATAGTCCACCACGCGGTCTCAAAAGCCAAAAGCCGAAGAAAGTGAATATATGTCGGTCGCTTAGCTTAGTAAAGCGTCTGGATACGTTATTCCAAAGCGCAGGTTCGAATCCCCCGATACCAAAATTTCTTGTCCACATCTACCAAAACATCACATTTAAAGAGAACCAAACAATGTAGGGATTGCACTCTACAGCAATACGGTACAGGAAGGATGTTACAGGCGAAGGATGTATGAAAGTTCTTACATCTGATTGGTAACATTCTTTTCATGTGCAAAATTGGCAAGCGAGTAGGCGGTTGCAATCAAATCATTTATTCATCGAAGTATGAAATGCACATTAATTTCATCTATCGATAGTATTTTTTTTAAATCAACCACCGTTTCCTAATGATGTTTCTCTAACGGAGAAACAGGCTAAAGAAACTCCGTAGGAATCCTATTTTTTGTCTTTATATTATATTATACAGTACATATTTTTTTTAGAAACAGCTTGGCAGGGATTATCTCATCCTCATATGATGATATGTGATTATCACCACCTATCATCATACTCACTACCAACCGGTTCAAGAGGCTCTGCCAAACGTTAAAAACTGAGCCCCGATTACGTCACTACCACACTAACCTGACGAAACATAAAAGTATATAAGAATATTTTTCAGTGATTAGGATGACACAGCAATCAAAACACAATTGAGTTTCTCTCTAAGTAAAGAAACGACATTTAATGTTATCAATCACAATGTCGATTCCTAAATCACTATTTTACTTATTAAGTATTTTTTTATTAAAATTATTTTCATGAATTGTTTCATATGACAGCTTAATTCTTTTTCTGTTATAATCCGGCGTCAAACATAGTTTTTAAAATAAATTTTATCAACGGCCGGTGCGCGAAAATATTTAAATTAAAGAAAATAATAATTTTCTTTACAAGTATATACCTCGATATATAACTTCAGGTCGGTCTTCTTTGAAGCGGCGTTACTTCCCCGGATCTGCCTATCCATTCGTGCAACAGAAGTTGCCGCGTGGCGCGATTGGCATTATTACAACAACAAAGAAGTAAAATCAATACTGACAAGGTTAAGATAAAGTCACCTTTTATGTTTATTATGCAGTATAATTGGGATGCTCGTCTCTTATGTTATCTTCCGCGAGGCCGTGGTACTTTATCGGAGGAGTCTGCCCCTTCGTGCAACAGCTGAAGATGCTGCGTGTGTCAACCAGACACATAACGTCATCTTTAACGGTGGTAGGGCCACGCAGCAGCCTCGGCTGTTGCACGAATGGGCAGGCCCGTCCGGGTAAGTACCACGACCTCACAGAAGACCAGCGTAAAGTGGAAGTATGAGAAATACTTTCGCGTTTCGTCTGGTGAGTGAGGTAGCCGGAGCACAATTTTCAAAAGGTTGTCAACGCATCTGTAACCCTCGGGAGTGGCAGATGTCCATGGGCGGCGGTATTCACTTAACATCAGGTGAACCGTTTGCTCGTTTGACAACTTTTCGCATGAAAAAAAAATACACATTGGAAAAAATTTCGTTGGTCAGAGGCTGTAGCTGAGAAGTTCATTTAATGCAGGAGTGGCAAATAAGGGAAGTACCTTCTTCATGGTAAGCGGCACCGTCGCACAGACATTTATCAGCAAAGCTGTAAAGGCATCAAGTAAGAAAAATGATATTGAAAAAGTGCCGACACTCAAAATACCGCAGGCCGCCAGGCCGGAGTTCAAATTGCAGTTTGTGACAGTCGCGTTTGGATTAAAAAGTGTAAATAAAACAAAAACCTATAAAGTTATGTAAACTCTCGTGAGTGTGAGATCGAGACGAGCTGTGCAAATGTGCGGGAAGTCGATGGTTGCAGGTGGCTCAGGATCGTGCTTCGTGGCAGTCTGTGGGGGAGGCTTATGTTCAGGAGTGGACTCAAACAGGCTGAAATGATGATGATGGGTGTGAGTTAAGTCGTCGTAATACTTCGTTAGTACATTAATGATAACAAATACTACATCACTAACGAAATAATGCTACAACTTAACTCACGTTTAAACGATGTATGTAGTAACTAAACTAGTCGCTGGTTTCGGACCTATCGAAGCTCCTTCATCAGGGTGAGTGAGTACTGGCAGTACGAGACGAGCCCTCATCCCACTCACCCTCATGAAGGACTTCCTATAGGTCCCAAACAAGTCGGTAAACAAAGAGCTTTCTATAATGGTAATTGAGTATTAAAACCTTTATTCTTTGTATTATTATGGTTGGTTCGTAAAAGAAAAATGGAAAAATTAAGTAAATAATACTTAACGACCTCTGTATAGAGGAGGCCTTTGCCCAGCAGTGGGACATGTATAGGCTGTTACTTTACTTTACTTAACGATAGAAATCTATCCAGATGCGGAGGGGGTCACCCCATGATCCTCTAGATCCGCGCCTCCGACAACTGATTTCACAGAGTGTTCGTACGGAGTAGAGAATTCTGGAAAAGCACACAAAACACACTGTACACTGCAAGCTAAAAAGATGGTCGCGATGGTATCTGTTTCACAAATTTGTACGGTGGTGAAACTCAAGAGGGGAACAATCGATTTGTTATATTTACGCGAATAGTACACATTACTGAATTATTTAGAAGATATTTACTATTTCGAACATTTCACAGCGCTTATGGTGTCTGTCACGCGACCATGATTGCTGTACAGTTTCATTTAGCAAAGGAAAAACTCTTCAACCCCGTGGTGAACGTTGTTTACACGCGTATATATATATATATATATATATATATATATATATATTTGCGGACTTCCAAATTATGTTTCTTTGTTCATTTAACTTTTTCACTATACACATATAAGAGGATGCCTGAGGCATCCACTAGTCGAGCTAGTGGGTTGTTTAAATATTCAAAACCTTAAACAAAAAAGTCGAGTGCAACTATCGACAGTCGTATGATGTATGACGACCTGTGCAAATGTGCGGGAAGTCGATGGATGCGGGTGGCTCAGGATCGTACTTCATGGCAGTCTGTGGGGGAGGCCTATGTTCAACAGTGGACTCAAACAGGCTGAAAAGATGATGATGATGATGATGATGTAAGGTTACATATTCAGACACTTAAGTCAAAATTTGGGCCCTGTTTCAAAATCTGCATTGCAGCAATTTGTTGAAATTGGAACCTGGTTCGACATCACACAATTGATTGTATTTTTGCGTTGTAAAATAAATAACTTTCTATTTTTTTCTATATATAATTTTACTTTATTAAAACTTATATTACGCGTCATTATTTTATAACATTACTCTTACTCTACATGGTCTTTGAAAAGATATTTCACTAACAATTTGGTCTTATAAAGTAGGTACTAGCCCCGTGTGGAAAACGGTACGAATCGGGGACTCCAAAGCCAGGTCTTTTGCATCTGTCGACCATCAAATATTATTGGCATCATGATGCTTCGAAGATACTGAAGCCTTCGTAGCGTTAGAACGTATCCTGTATTATATTTTCTCATACATTTTGATGTTTTGTTCATTCTTAAGGACGCGGGTCGTGCTTCAATTCTCGAACTGGATAAATAATAAGTTTCTTGACAGACTAGCAATCAGATACTTATCGCCACTGTAAGGCCAAGTTACTTCCCCGGATGAGTCCGCTCATGGAGTTGCTAAGACTATCATTGAGTCCCAGCGAGTCAGTGTAAACGTATGTATACATGCGTGCCTTTTCAGGTGCCCAGATTTTATTACTAGGATTGGCCGGAGTTACCACATACGCAAACTACACTTCCGCGACAGCTTTGCCGTTCGTGACATCGCTGACAAGTTGCGCACTATGCTCGGACCATTATCATATTATGGTCCCAGACGATTCTTCAAAAGCCACACGGATGCGTTAAGAACAGCTGCCTGGCTATCAGGCTAAATTAACGCGATAAGTAATATAGTATGGATTAGCTTATGTGGGTGTCTTTATATCCCGGTGCTGGGCAAAGGATTAGGGTTGTATTACGTCACAGGTATAACAAGTCGTTGACATATTTCTCTATTTCTTAACAATTTTAACCTTCACCACCAAGCATATAAAGGAAATTGATAATCAAAATTGCAACATTTCCGTGGTGAAAGTTTCGAAATATTTTAGGTTGCGCTTATGTGGTTAATTTATGCTACTTATGCTAGTTATGTAGTTACATCTATCGCCTGGATCGGTTGACACTGCTGTTTCCATGGACACCCTAAATGCGGTGATCGGTTATCATTACCAATGAGAAGATTGTAAAATAACATAATATAACAGCTAATAGGTATATATTAGCTATTATTTTATATTACCTAGGTACTCCTAGTAAAAAGTCAGTAGGAGAACACGGTGACTCGTTGATCGGGATAACACCTAAAAAGGATAATTTCTTATTCCATTCCATTTCTTTTCATATTGATGATGAGCAAATTTGAAATAATATTCTGTCATAATATGTATGAGATTTGAGTTAATTTTTTGCATGTAAACAAAGTTACCTACCTACCTATTCGAATTCTTTAGGTTGTCGAAATCCTCGTTTAATACCATTTATGCTAATCTGACAGCAAGTTACAATTTCTATTTCAGTGGAAATAAAATCCATAAAAGATAATGTTTAGCTCTGATACCGCCTTACTTTCTGATATCCATTGTATTAATTGTAAAATAATGTACCTACCTATCTATGTAAATATATGCATTTATTTAAAATTAGTACTTTATTACTTGACATTAATAACGTACTCGTATCATAAATGATAATTTATTCATTTGTTTTGAACAATATCAACTATAACCTACAGGTTCCTGTAATATGACAGAGCTTTATCTTTTACCCCACATTCACATTGCATCCATTGCAGGTGTTAATTATCGCAGAAGTATATAAATATAAATTAGTGACATTCTTCAAGAATTTAAACAGTTGAAAAAAATTCTATGCTACAGAATAAATAATTGATGAAATAACTTAAAAATAGCTTAAAAAAAAGCAAAAAAAGTTTTTTTTACTGTTAAAAAATAATTACATATCAATTCGTTTTCTTATATTAAGGCCGAAAGCAGTGTCACTTAGAAAAACTGCATTTTATCTAAAAAAAATTCTGTAGAATCCAGGGCCGTCGCAACTACTTCGCAGACATCGAAACTCGCCGTCACTCCAGACAAATAAAGGAGCACGAGGCGAGTGCGGGAAGGCGGCCGCTCGGTGCGCCCACACGCCCCCAGTCAAAACAACGCCGCCGCGGAACGAGCCGAGACTAGAGACGCAACCGAAAAATCCCGGGCTCTATAATTACGTTCGGCTACCCGATCCGCCGGCGAGGCAATTTAAATTTACTGCGAACGCCGCACGTGTCCCACAAAATGAAATCCCACTACCGCGCGCCACGCACAAAAAAAGCTAGCAGAGTTCACGTCGCGGCGCCACCCCTCGATCGCTAGTGGCCGCTCGCACCAACCACGCCTGCCTCCGTCCGCTACTGTCTCCCTCTCGCTCTGGCTTGCGTGGGGCGCGTAAGCTCGTCCCCTTCGGCTGAGCGGCGCACGGGAAAAGCTATAGCTTTCCGTTCAGTACGCGTTCGAGCGGCGTGCGTGTCGTAGTGTCAGACGGTGGCTCCGCGCGTAAGTCGCGCTGTGTCAAGTGTAGTGCCGTGTAGAGGTGCCGAAGTGGCGGGTTTCCTTGCCTCAGGACGGGGGGCCCATGCCCCCTTCCACCAGCACCACATTGGTAAAAGTCAGTGTCCGGTTTGAGGGAAACTAAAGATCTCTTTTACCCCCCCGACTTTGTGGACGGAACTGTGAATGTGAATTGCGATGCCGACGTATGGAGGTTGTTTTGTTTGCTTTTTTTTGTTTTAATTTTCTTTTTTTTCTTCAATATAAGTCTAATGTTCATTCACGTGTGATTGGTTTATCATTTTTAATATATTATTTACTCTACTTTGGTAACGTTGAGTTCTGAATGTCGACTTTGTTTTTAATTTGTATATAGGTATGTTTAGTTCCATCATCATGTTGTCATTCGTTCATTACAACCGACTCACAAACGACTGATGATTAAATAGCAAAAATTAATAAACAACATATAACAAAGCATAAGCTAGAAGTAGGTACCCAAGTTTTCTGAAAATGGTCCATAATTGATTCGTCAATGATATATCAACTTCTGTCATTACTTACAAATATAAAGGATCTACTTGATATAAACCTGCATGTTGAGATAGAATTACAAGGATAGTTAGGCCTATACAACGTCATTAGGCCTAAACATGTAAATATCTAATTATTTAGTTCCATAAGAAAATAATCCGTATAAAACTAAATAATCATCAGTAATAACTCATGGATATAATGCTAGTCGCAGTTTATAATTAGTTATATCATCATTTATGTTCAGATTGTACAAATTGTCTCAAGCAGACCATATTTTTTATAATTACGCTTACTTCTACATTAATAATCAGTTGGCTTCATTTTTCGTTGCCGGAAAATATTAAATTTCACAACCCAAAGCATGCTTTAACATGTTATACATATTTGATTACTCATTTGACTTATAAAATAGGTTCTTAATTTTGCCATATCGGATGTCAACAAAAGATCATTGAATTTAATTTTTTCAATACAGTCTAGAATAAACATGGCAGGCAGACCGATCACGAAACTTTTTTGTGAAAAATGGGTTTAGGTCTAGTACGACAAAGAAAATAAAAGTAATTCGTGCATAAATTCAATATTTTTCAATATTTTGCATCCATTAATTCAATATCTTTAATTATAACTGACAGTACCTTAATATGAAAATGTTAATTAACTCTTTTATTATTAACCGATGGATATTCAAAGAGTCAAATTTTAATATTTATTTTATCCAAAACTTTTATTTGTCGTCTTTCTAATTATACGAGGAAAAGTTCCATCACCACTGAATATTGCAAACAGCTAACTTAGGCATTCATACCAGATAATTCGGAAGTTAACATAAACGAAACCCGGCTATACTAATCAATAAGCGAGCGACGTGTGAACATGAATGAAAAATGCAATCTTATGTTAAATTAATCGAAATCTATGTAATATACAAAGCACGCTCTCGTGTATGGTGCGGATAGATACCTAATAATACTAATAGATTAATTGAAAACGTATGTGACCAGCCCCGCTTAGTTGAAATTGTAGTCTTTTTTTTAAATATTTTGGAAAACGGAAGTTTCATTAACGTGTGCTATGTGATTTGATCCATTGTACGCAACAATTAGAACATGTTATATATGTTGTGAACTAAATAAAAAAACATTATAATTGATGTATTAGTTAGACAATCGTTGAAATTTAAACGGAAACATGCTATTTATAACGATTTCTCCACTTATTATATTACAATACTGTTAAAAAAGCCTAAACAAAGTACTGGCAGAACGTCCATAACTGTCGAGATTAAAAAGAAAAAAAAAAAAACAAAAGTCAACGATGTTTTTGTGAAACAACACGGCCAGTAACATTTCATTGAGGCTAAGGATGGACTTTGTTATCGTCTTAAAAAGATAGAAGCAAACGCGAGCGGATTAAAACGCCACGACGTGGAACCTCTTCCAATGCTCCATAATCTTTTTTCTGGACCCAAAACGCTGCAGTATTTGTTATTCTCGAGCGATTGCTGATTGTACTAAACAATGGCTTTAAGTACCAGTGACTCTTAAGTAACCTCTTTTGTATGTGAGCTCGTGCCAAAATCTTTTCCGCTTACTTAAAAAATGACTTTTACTGAAAAATGACTTTGACTTAGGCATTTTGACTCTAGACAAAAAACGAGTTATCCGAACTTGACGTTTTAGTGATTTTTTGTGATTTGCTTGGAAATTGTTTTGTTGGATGCAAGTTGCCTGCTTCGCACGGGCAGGCAAATCTTAGAGTCACTAAACTTGTTAGCTTTTTCTAATTTTTTTTCCCGTGGAAACCTGTTTTTGAGGCGTTTTCAATAACATTATATTATTACGAATTTGACAAACCTGTAAAAAACCATCTTACAAGAGTAACGCTTGAATGCAATAATGTTTCACTTTTTAATTCTGATTTATTATGTCTTCACATGTTTTAGAGGTAATAAAGACATTATAAAATTCTCGGAATCGTTGTCCACCACCGTGCTTATTTTATATTTAAAATGAAGAACATTTTATCAAAAATAAAATATACAAATTAATGCTATATTATATTTATTTCTTATCAACTTTTAACAGTCTGAACAGCTTAATGTTATTTCTATTATATATATATGTGCAAAATTAGGGATTTGGTATTGTTTTGATTGGAATTTCTTTCATGTATAGAGTAATTTTTCCGACATTTTTTTGTGTTAGAACATTGCAAGCCAACTGTCGATTCACCATGGACATTTGCAACACCCGTACTCTGCTACCTTTTTATATAGTAGGCTCTGATTAACCCATTCGTTGGTTGAAACCCAGAAGCATAACACTTTCACTTCACGCCGGTGAAAATTTTTTCTCCAAAGATTTTTTGAAACACGGAAGTGTTTGCAAAAAATGTTTGGAGTCTTTGTCTTCTTAATGTTTAAAGGACTTTTTTTGAGAGCACATCACTGTTTTTAGGGTTGCTTTTCGTCCCACCGTCGAATCCGAAAGCTCAAGACAAATTCTATAAACTATATATATGCTGTGCTTGTGACTAAGTTTAGTTATTTGTTCGGTGATTTTGTAAAAGGAGATGCAGAGTGTACTTATGTTTACATTGCCAACTTATTTTTTATTTCGTTCATCATTCTTATTTATAAGAATGTCTGTGTTTCTTTAAAACTATTTACATGACTTGGTTCTTGGTTATTTTCATTCGTCAATTTCATTCTAAATACTTATATACCAATTTGAAAGGTGCACTTCATGTATTATGAGTGTATATCTGGCAAAGTAGTTCTCTGTCAGATATAAACTCTAGTTAAGAGTTACTAAAGTTACTAAGTTACACTGTTATTAAAGTTATATTGAAATAAGACTAGATCTTTGTTATGTGTGAAAACCGCCTCTTTTATTTGATCGGGTTTCATTTTGGTTTGTATTCGGTATCGGTATAGACAGCACCGTGGGCTTGATTAGAAATTCAAATGACGATCGGAAAAACAATTTGTGGGCATATCTGTAGCGCACAAGTATACGATTTGAACGATAGCGTTTTAGAAAATTGACGATAAAATGTTCAAGCTAGTGCCGCGTTGGTGCAGACCACTAACCCTGCAACATTGTCCGTTGGGAGCCTGCGGTGGTGAGTCCAGCTCAGCGTCGCTTATTAGCACGCCCGGATCCTCCTCTTGTGAAATTGACTCGGTGGTTTCACAGTTAATTGGTAGACAAACAGACATCATTCGACACTTTAGAATGTATTTTAACGACTTGCGCATGGGAATGTATGCCATCGCTGGCACGCGACAACTTTGTCATCGTATTTAAATGCCTGGATTTAGTTACTTGGTCAAAGCACGTCTTTGCACCGTTTTGAAGAAGTTCTCTCATCATAGGTATCACGCCTAGGCATTTCAGACTTGTGAAAAGTTCTACTTAACTTTTAACATTCCCGCGGTTGGCTTAAAGAATGGAGATAAATACTAAAAAATGGACTGCAGCCTCTGGTGTTTTTAATCTTTAACCGCATATATATTTATAACCTACGGGGATTCATGTCAGTAACAGGTAGGTGGAAGAAAACTTAGAACCGATTAATTTAACCTCAAATGAGGTAATCTGGTATTTCTTGTATCCGAATTATATAATTCCTCGCTTTATTGTGTTTTTATGTATTCGCACATCAATATTACAAACAAGAACTAGTTACATTAAATTATTCATATTTTTATGATAGGTATAAACATTAGCGAACTTTTGAAATGGGTATGACATTACAAACGTAATATGTCAAGTAAAGTTCCTCTGTTCACCACCTCAAGTTAAAAACGAGAGAGGTTAGTTGAATATCTCAAGGTTTTATAAGTGCGCCACGCTGTCACAAATTTTCCCGCCGAATATTCACCGCGACCAATCGGACGCCCCATACGGACGTGCAACATTAAAATGCGTTCGTAAATTAAGATAATAAACGTCAAAAATGACGTTCGGAAAAAGCTCATTTAAAAAAGAATCCCGTTGACTTCGCAAGGTCAGTCTGTGAAGTGTTCGGGCGGCGTAACATGCGTTCAAAACGCTGTAGGTCCTTATATTTTTATAGATATTTTGCTTAAATAGAAGACAAATTAACTAATATACATAAGTCTCCGCTGGGCAATAACTTTAAATACAGATGATATTAAAGCATATTCACTCTTTTGCGCGGTATCAAAGCGGATTGGGGGACATCACATGTACAAATACATATAGGTACTTTTAATTTCTTTGATATACTAGTTTCCTCACGTGGTTTGATATATAATAGTGGTTTACGTCGTATATATAATTACAGTTTCATTGGTAGTACGTAGATACAAAGAATTTGAAAGCGAGTTATCGGGGCTTTATCATCATAATTTCAGCCAATTTGAGTCCATTGCTGACCATAGGGCTTTTTTTTTTAATTTGCGCAATAGGATATGTCCGTTTTACATGCACTTAATTAATTTTTGATTAAAGATTAATGTTTTAATAAAATACTATTCTTATACATTACAGATATTCGTGTTTAAAATATAAGTGAAAACATAGCATGTTCGATAATTTGCCGCGTTTCAATGTTTTCAAATAATATTACATTCGACAACCGAACTTCACAATCTTAACGCCCGGTTTCTGAAACACTGATCATCATAGAAGTCAACTAATCCGCTGTCAAATGGATTTTCAAATGTTATTTTGTTTGCCAAAAGGATTGTTAAGCTCTCTGAATTGATCAGAATGATGAAAGAGGTTTCCTATAGAAGACACAGTCTTTTCATGTCTTCATTTATCCGGCGCCGAGGTGTGTAGACAACCGTGTACACTTTAATATCATTAGACTGTGTACCACGATTCAAAGGCGTTTAGGTTCTTATCAAATATGTACACTATTTACTGAAACAAATACATTATTCACTGTGGTGTGTGCTCGTCCGGGGAAGACCGGCGTGAAGTGGAAGTATAGTACATACTTCTACTTCACGCCGGTTTCGTCTGGTGAGTGAGGTAATCGGGGCGTACTTTTTCATTACGTTGGCAGAACATCTGCAACCCGTCAAATGATGGGCGGCAGCAAAGCTTAACATCAAGTGAACCGTCATCTCTATTGGTAGCTTCACAAAAAAAATTCTCATGAAAGCTCCACGATTTTGGCGCGCGACAACGCGTACAGTAAATCATTGAATTCGAACAACGGCAGAACATTCCCCGGTGCTACGTTCAGCTGTACGTAATAACATATGCTAGTAAAACTTTATTCAGCGTAATCTTTATCGATCGTAAAAACTCAATTCCATTATATTCGCAGCGACTACCGGCTTTATGGCTAAGCAAAGTATTCCACATTTATTGTATATGTAGGTATTGCACATTGGCGCGCGGAGTTAAGCGCCCATTGCAGCCTATCCTAGATTTGTACAAGCACTCCGCGATGCCATGCTACCGTCTCCCTCGGACGAGGCGGTGCGAAAGGGACGGCAACATACCATGGAGAACGTAGAGTTCGCCCTAGGTTTAACGATCTCTTACGACGTTGGCACATTGCTACGAATGCAGTTTAGGTTCTCGGAACTATCATAAACGTTAAATAGTTTAAGATTAAATGCCGGAAGGTTCTTAATCGGAGTTTAATTCTCGCTCCTCCAACTACTTTCCAATAAATAGAAAAATGTTTTATTTCGTTTCTACTAATTTATATTGCGTATCCGATATTGTTGCATTATTACAGGAAGGAAGACCATCGATGCCATATTGATATAGAATCTATATTAAAGTTATTAAAATTGTGACAGGTCAACCTTTTTTGGGAACAAAATATCCCGATACGGAACAATTATTGTAGGTTGCGCAAAATGATTGTCCCGTGTGGGAATCGAATCCATGACCCCCGGCGTCGAACCCAGGAATTTTTACGGTGGTAGGGCCACGCAACAGTGTTCACTGTTGCACGAATGAGCAGGTCCATCCGGGTAAGTACCACGACCTCACAGAAGACCGGCGTAAAGTACAAGTGTTACACTTCTGCGTTTCGTCTGATGAGTGAGGCAGCCGGAGTGTTGCAACTGTTCATGGGCGGCGTTTATCACTTAACATCAGGTGAACCGTCAGCTCGTTTGCCACTTTCTCACATGTTTCGACATTGGCTAATTCCACTTATGATATTAATAAATAAGAGTTATTTTAAAGACAGTTTAAGAATTAGAGTGTAGAAGTACATAGCTTCATAGACGACTTGCATAAATAGGAGAATTAGAGTGTAGAAGTACATAGCTTCATAGACGACTTGCATAAATAGGAGTATAATACGTGTTTTATTTGATGTGTGAGGTGTGAGCTATAGATTGGCGACCGTCCCTAGTGGTGACGATGATTATGGGGGATGACAATCACTTTTTTGTAAATATGGGATGATACTATCCCTGAAAGCTGGCAAGTACTGTTGTTGGTTACGTCTCAGATCAGTAACATCCGCTTCACTCTCTTATTCTGTTAGTTCCCGTTACCGTAAACCGGAAGAAACGAAATGGTACAAATACTTTCCGCCGCTACTTGGATGGGTCATCCACGCAACAACGTAAGCCGTGTGGCCCTACATCAGTGACGTGAAGTTAATTGCTCCTCAGCCGTGCGCGTCAGTTGTGGGCCGGTCAGTAATGCCCGGTTCCTATATTCAACGAACGGCCGTTAGTTGCATAGCTTTCATAACGACTTGTAGATTAAAGGAACGCTAGGAAACGCCTCGTTTTGTTAACATAGGAACCGGGCGTACACGCCTTTTATCTACAGGTCGTTATGAAAGCTACGGAGCTGCGTAGCTAACGGCCGTTCGTTGAATATAGGAACCGGGCATAAGCCGTGGGGTCGAGGGCAGTTGTTAACGGCGGCGTGTCTCCAGGACGCGGGGAGGCAGGCGGCGCGATGGCGTGCGCCGGCTGCGAGAAGCCGATCCTGGACAAGTTCTTGCTGCACGTGTTGGAGAGGGCGTGGCACGCGGCGTGCGTGCGCTGCGCCGACTGCCGGGCACCGCTCGCCGACAAATGCTACTCCAGGGACAACAAGCTGTTCTGCAGGAACGACTTCTTCAGGTCAGCCCTTTTAGTGCGCTCCGAATCTATATGTTCAAATTTGTTTTAAGCACGCTCCAAATCTATGTGTTCAATTCTGTACGTCAGTCGTGATCAGTCGTCAGTCTCAGATGTTAACAGCATTATGCGAGAAAGACACATTTTACAGGAGAGGCAAAAATGCGCGGAGTTGATAATTGTATGCATTATTGATTATGGAGTCATATACGAATAGATATTTTATTAATTAGGCGTCGTAGGATTTATTTTCTTCAGGAGCGCTCCTTTCATAAATAAATAAATAATTTTGCTTCATATCTGTCTTCTGTATTACACTACAGTACACTGGATGTGATCAAAGCAGGAACGTTTCAAGGCAGTTCGCAAAAATATGGCAAATCGCCCATTAGACGATGTTGTGTTTCATGCACAAGATATAGTGAGCATTAGTGGTACGGATGAACTAAACTTGTGCCAGGGATAATTTTTTATTAATGAGAACATAGGCCATTACACTAAGCAAGAAGTAACAAAGAAAGTGTTAGTATTCGTTGATAGAGTTCGTATATTTTTCTACATTTATGACAATCAGCATAGGTATATTCACACAGAATTGTAGAAAGCTTTACATATTCTACTTCGCAGGACGCGTTTCTTATGACCATAATACTGTAACGTATACTGAACGGTGCTAATTCGAAATATTTAAACACAACAATTTAAAAAAGGATCTGATTGAGGCTTAAGACATAATCGAACGAAATATAAATAATTAGATAGATTATTTTAGCCTCGTTTTGAACGTTGACAGAAAGATGGCGAGTTAATTTCGATGTGTGAGGTTCTTGCATAGATTGATAAGCTGTAGGATAGTAGGTGTTATAAGGAAACCTTATAAACATTTTAAAATAAAGTAAGCGAACAGGTGTTATGAGTTATTGTTTGATGTAGAATGAAAAACAATATGTAGATACTTTTCCTGTATAACTTTACTGAAGTATAAAGGATTAACTTAAATTGGGCGTCATTAGGCACATAAGAGCTACGAATATTTTGGAAGACATTTATACATCCCGAAAAAAGATTTTTTCCGTTGAAATGTTATTTTGTTGTCCTTCTTAAATTTATTCGCTTTTTCTTTTTGTAAAAACACATTTAATAAAGTTCACGTTCATATAATACAAATTTTATTTTTAGTACAGTTTAAAAGTGTTTTTTTTATTATGTTCACTTTGTATAAAAACTTCCGACAGATCCCATTTAAATCTGGTGTCCTTATAGTTTTAATTTGTTTCTAATCTGTAATTATATAATTTGTTTCTACAAAAGTTACAAGAGTTTTATAAATCTTCACTAAAGTGTCCGTCTGTCCTGTGGGTGGTTTTATAACGGACCCCATCATTGCTGACGACGGCACCTGTTGCTAATGCATCAATTATCCACTCTTAACGAAGGGTTTTAAGTGTTTAATTGCCACGTTTGGCCCATTAAGCGTGCTAATATTTAGCCTTGGTCTACCCTATATCACATTAGAATTACAGATATGATACAGATCTGGCCTTTTTCAAGGACTGTTTACACCTACCGTCCGAACTGTTTCATTTATAGTGGCAGATTGTTGCTTTAACGACGATATTGTACTTGTATTAACATTCCTCAACATTGTACATTGTAGTGGCCCTTTCTGATATTACCTTCCTAAGTCGACAGGAAATTAATACCCTTACCTATTACTTTTTACCTATTACTATCGGTAGAAGTAAGGACGCGAGAGCTCGGGTTTGTTCTAGAATTAAACTCGGAAACATGTTAAACGAATCGCAATCATTCTGTTTTTCCAATGCGTTATGTATAATATCTTCGTCTTGCGTTTGAGCACAGTGTACGGTGACAAGGCTGTCACGTTCGATACTCGATGAGCTGGCTGAAATGATATCATTACCTAACACCTATCACTATCTTTCCATATTACTACCGTCAGAGACAAAGGGCGTGAAGACGGGCAGAAGTTCCTAGAATTAAACACAGATGTAACTGTTTATTATTTTAATAATTTTAAAAACTTTAAATTTTAAACTGTTTCCTTATTACGTAGACAGATAGTGTCAAATAAATATGTATAACATTCCATAATTTTGTAGATGAATATTCATTACATGTCAACTTCCAAGCTTCTTGGTACATGACGAGGTAGATAAAGACGAAAAACCATAAATAAGTACAAGGAATCTGTCGCTTTTGACCACCCATTGGAAACGTCGACCGCAACTATGCGTCATTTAGGAACATATCAATTAGAGAAAAAAGTTACGGCATGAGATGTTAAATCATATGGCGCCTTGGAGCAAAAAAGGTGTAATTTTGTCGCAGACAACAACGGTTAAGTTACGACTTCCGTTCTCTTGACGGTTTATTTTAACTTTTTTTGATTGTTTACTTTTGACATATTTTTACGCAACATATTCTGGTCCCAAACTAAGCAAACCTTGTACTATGGGTACTAGGTAATTGATAAACACACATAAAAGTACTGTTTTTTTGTAAATAAATACGTTTTATAGATATACAGGGAGATTTTTTGAGAAGTGCCCAAATTTACACAGGAGGTTCAGACTCGGTAGTATAATCGTTTATTGAAATAAAAAATTTCCAAAAAAATGCCATTGTATTCCCTAAAGAACAGAACGTGTTGACAATCCGGTAGTCATTCATAAATATCTAAATTTTACTGTGCACGAACTTGTGTGCGTGCTAGTTATGAATGATCGCGCGTAAAATAAATGAGTTGCTTATAACTTTTTGAGATAAGTTCAAATGAATGTAATCAATTACTTACCAGTGATTTTAAATATTTATCAGTTTTATATAACATTATTTATGTCTAGAATTTAATTTAAAAAAATGGATACACTTAGAAAAGCCACCCTGTATAAACACCCAGACAGACACCTAGAAAAACACAATGTTCGTCAAACAATATTTTTATAGTACTTTAACGCTCACTACTTTAACCTCACGATCCGCTACGTTCTGTATACTTACTAGGCTGTACTATACGTTTTCGACATTATTGTAGAGTTACGAAAAGAATACATCTGATACAAAGATGATCTGTATTTGTAGTTTCTCTAGCTTTTGTTCGTAACTTTTATTTCTTGCGTGAATTACCATATTGTTTTTATGAAAAAAGTTCCATATTGATAGCTATAAATATATAAGATATAATTATATCGTTATTTTTATTTGATATTCTTAAATGTCGCATCAAATTCATTCCGAAAGAGGAGTTTATTTTCTGATATTAAATTAAAATATATACAAAAAATAATCTTTTTCAAAAAACTTTCAATCGGTTTTTGGCATGGTACTGTCAAACTAGAAAGCTTTCTGAGAAGGAACAAATTTTTTTTCTTACTATCACTTGAGTTGTCACAGATTTAACACCGATTTGGAAGGGTTCCAGACCGAGATGTCGTCCGCCTTTTGATAGCGAAACGAATTTGCAATGTTTCATATTTCACTCGCTTGTCTGGCTTACATTTTGTCGTTTCAAAGATACGTGCAGTTTTCCGTATAACAGTGTACCAGTTTCATTGGTGACCGCTTTTTATGTAATAAGATATTATACGAGCTGGCAGTTCACCTGATGTTAAGTGATAACAGATGAACATTTCCATCACCCGTAGGGTAGCAGATGCGTCGCCACCTTTTCATCAAGTGGGCTCCGATTATCTTACTCACAAGACAAAACGCACAAGTATTACTCTTCCACTTCACGCCGGTCTTCTGTGAAGTCGTAGTACTTCGCCGGAGGGACCTGCCCATTCGGGCAACAACGAAGACTATTTAGTGGCTTTTTTTTTCGGTATCGGGGGGAAATCTTCAAAAGATACCCTATCACTTTACATGACAGGGTTATGTGGGGTTCTTACCCACTAAAACCCCCTCGGTGGCCGCCTTCTGTACATTTGGAGGGACTCCGTGATCTCCCATGGAACGCACCGGTGTCCGTCGGTACTACGCCTGAGCACGCCTCGGAGAAGGATATACCTTCTCTGATCCCCTCACCCTCTTGCAGCAACACGAGACCACTTCGTGCTGCTGCCCATCCGTGTCCCCTTTTAGTCGCCTTTTACGACAGGCAGGGGATACCTTAACCCTATTCTATGAGCCCGGGACTACAGGGCTGAACCCTACCACCGTTAAACGCTTGAACGGCTTAGAACTGAATTCACTACAGTGCCATCTATATGAGAGTTAATGTCAGTGGTAACTTTAGAAACCTCCTTGAAATATCACATTCATGGATGAATTAAGAACCTTCTGTTATCGCACGAAGACCAGCGTGAAATGGATGTATTATTGCGTGTCATCTGGTGTGTTAGGTAACCTGGGCCCAATTTTTTAAAAGGCCTAGTAAATGCCTACAGGCGACGGACATCGAAAAACACCTGTCATTTTCGACTAACTTCAAATGAGGAGGTTCTCGTTTCGGTTTTATTTTTAATCATTGTCCCCTTAGAACACCGTCATTTATGAACCGATTAAAAACCCTTTTTGCGTTGGTTTTGGTAAAGCTACCATTTGGACATATATTCGTTTCATTGGTGTTAGATCTTGGATTCCGGAGATAGATCAAAAACAACTCCTCAAAATCCGCTAGAAAATGTATAATGACTGAGATATTTGAAGTCGTTTATCATCTTCGTTCGAAATTTTAATGTTTTTAGAGCTAAACTCTGCACTTAAGATGAAATATTAAAATCATCTTAGGTGTTGAGATTAGGTCTATAAAAATTTTAATTTCATATCGCAACGGCGACAGCTCTCGTTCGTATAATCGTTTTAAAATGATATTCGAAATTTTTTGTACGCTGTAAAGGAAATAAAAATAAATGCGCCAAGCATTGCTTGAAATTCGAAATATAAATGAAGATAAAAGACGTTGAGATTTTCATAGGTGTGGCAATCACCCGCTTAGCTTAGTGGTTACAGCGTCTGGACGCGAATTCGGAAAACTT